AACGCGAAACATGCGTCTCGAGGAATAGTCGCTAAAAACGTTACGCTACCTCACGATCCGTTGCATATTATCGAGTAATCGATAAACTTGTTCTTACGTTACATTTCAAATTATAAAATAAAAATAAAAATTATTATTACTTAAAACATCAAAATAATAATAATAATAATAATCCTTTTACATTTCAGAAAGGTAAAAATTGAAGAGAGAAAAAGAGAGAAATAGTCGAGAATACAATTAAAGTAAAAATAGATTTCATTATTTGTCATCGAACCACGAAAAAAAACGAAAAAACGAGAGAAACGTGAAAAGTAATACGTCGATGGCAGCTATTTTCGTGCAGCAGAACGAGAAGAAAAAGTTGTTGATGACCTGAATAACTCAATCAATAGAGCGGTCGTCCAATAAATGAAAGAACCGTATCCCGGAGTCCTCGATCCGGCCAATTGTTTTTCTCGTTACGGATGCCATATAAATAGCTATGAAACCGCCAGTTACAGCGAGGATGAATGCCTCTGGTTTCGCACAATTGACTGTTGCCATAACCCTTTACGTTGATATTCCCTTCGTGGTGGTTTCCTCTCCGTTTTCTATCCGCGATATCGTAATAATCGAAGATTTTTCGAGGACCGAGGTGTGTAGAGATGTGAAGAAAGAAACGTTTACGCGTGCGACGAGTTGCCAACGATATCCACTAGATCAAGTACAAGAAACTTTCTTCGAGTATCTATTCCATCGAGTTCTTCTTCTTTTACTTTTTCTTCTTTTTCTTCTTCTTCTTCTTCTTCTACTTCTACTTCTTCTTCTTTCTAACACGTTGGCGTATAGACTTTTAGAGACTTTTCAGTCTCGAATCTTTCGACGATAAATCGAAAGATCCCTCTTCAATTTCCACAGTGATCGGATTTCTGCGCGCCGCCAGATACCGTTTTCGAATTACCGACTTTTCGACGAACGCGGTTTCAAAGCGTTTCCCGTATCTCGAGCCTCTGGTAATTTCCGTCGATCTTCCGGGATCATATCCCGGAAGGGGAGGGGATCATATCCATTCGAAAAAAAATAAACGTACCCAAAACGAGGGGAGGGGGGTGGACTCGAACGATTCGATTTCGATCCTTTTATTCTAACGTCACAGTAACGGAAGTCGATCCTCAAGGTCGTTGGAACGAAGCCCGCGGAGTTGATCCGACTTTGGATACGTGGTAGGATCGAAATCCTCTGGATTAGTTTCCATTTCCTCGATGCTCTGGCAGAACTTCTCCGATAGGATTTATCAGAGAAAGGTAAAAAAAAAAAAAAAAAGGGAGTGAAAAGAGCGGAGATTCGAGGCTTGAAAAGAGAGAAGTGGAGTCGTACATATGGAGGTCACGAATCCGAGATACGAATATATTCTCGCGAATATATCCTTTTTACCATTCCATCGTGGAAATATATTAGGGATGGTCGTGTAATGTAAATTCGTCCGGGATAACAAGCTCGCGTGATCGAAACATGTGGCCGTGTTAATGTATTCTGTAACGTCAGACAGAGGTTCGAAACTCTTGGTCAAAACTTGGAGATTCGAGCAAACGTTTTTCGTTTCTGCAACGGGATTACGGAAGGGAGGGAAAAAACGAGAGGATTTTTCAATTTTGTCGAAGCGGTTCGAAGTTGAGAGAAGTATAAATGTACAAATTTATATTGGAAAATTCAGAAAAATGTAAGAATCAGAAAATATATATGTGAACTTTTATATTTTTATAATCTATCTATAAAATGTTAATTATATTATATTTTTTGAGGATACTAAAGACTTTGAATCGGATGAAACAATAGAGGAAGAGACATTTTTTAACATCGTATTAAAACTTCGAAAACGAAAATATTAATATCGTGACAGATATCATCGAAATTTCTTAAAACAAATGATACAATATAAAGAATAAAACGAGTTTATTAACATCTATAAGATGTTAATTATATTATATTTTTTGATACTAAAGACTTTGAGTCAGATGAAACGATAGAGGAAGAGACATTTTTTAACATCGTATTAAAACTTCGAAAACGAAAATATTAACATCGGAACAGATATCGAAATTTCTTGAAACAAGTGATACAATATAAAGAATAAAACGAGTTTATTAACATCTATAAGATGTTAATTATATTATATTTTTTGAGGATACTAAAGACTTTGAGTTAAATGAAACGATAGAGGAAGAAACATTTTTTAACATCGTATTAAAACTTCGAAAACGAAAATATTAACATCGTGACAGATATCGTCGAAATTTCTTGAAACAAGTGATACAAAATACAATAGAATAAAAAGAATTTATTAACATCTATAAGATGTTAATTATATTATATTTTTTGAGGATACTAAAGACTTTGAGTTAAATGAAACGATAGAGGAAGAAACATTTTTTAACATCGTATTAAAACTTCGAAAACGAAAATATTAACATCGTGACAGATATCGTCGAAATTTCTTGAAACAAGTGATACAATATAAAACGAGTTTATTAAAATGAATTTCTTTTTACTTATATTATATTATAAATCTATACGTACACAATGAATGCGCGTCTAAATATCGATCGAACATTTTGCAGGGGTGAGCACAAGATCCCATTCGTTAGTGAAGAGGTTCGACGGGATTTACACGGGGCCGTACTTCGACTCAAACACTCCCACGAACATCACGGCCCAGCTGGGGAGTCATGCTTACCTGCCGTGCAAAGTGCGACAGCTCGGTAATAAATCGGTAAGTCTTTCGCCTTAACTGTCGTATACACCGCGACTACAACGCTAAACGAAACAACCTACCAATTAAAACTTGTCCAACTTCCGTCTCGCTTCCAACACCGGACACACAATTCGTCACGAAAGTTTCAAGACGACGCAAACCATTCTTCCGAATCAAAGAGATCAAAGGAGCTACTTCGCTCCTTTGCATTTCCGTATTTTCCGCCATCAACGTCAAGCGCAAAATTACGGATTCCTTAATTCCAATTCCGATTCAAGTTCGAAAATCCGTCTCACCCTCCCCCCACCGTCCATTGCAATCCTTCTCCTTGCGAAAAGCACGAGATAGAAGAAAGGGAAAGATAAAAGGGAATTTATTCGCACGCGAGTTTTCCGTCGTGACTCGACGGTGACGATATCATCGTATCGGTGGTATTCCACGAAATCGTTGATCCGCCATCGAGGGGAAAAAAAAAAAAAAAAAAGGCTATATAACGGCCTACGTTTCCGCCGATATTTCGCGTGAGCGAAAACCCCACCCTCTATTACAATAATCGAAACGGCGGCGATAAACCGATACATCAAACCCCTTCCTCCCCTCCCGATCTGCATGCAGGGGGATTTATAGCAACTATAAAAGTCTAATATGCCCGCGTTCTCTGTGCCCGTTAGTGAGGATTATAGGGAGTTGCGTGAATTTCACGGTTTGAGTATTTGGGAAAATAGGAGAGAGATGGGGAGATTGAAAGAGAGGAAGAGAGAGGGGGAGAGAGAGAGAGAGATCGTCTTTGGGCGATATTAGTTGGATAATTGGGGACGATAATTGGGTTTTAATAATAAAATCTTCGCATCACGAAGGAGGATGATTTAGATTTTTTAAATGTGTTTAACGATTACGATGTGCCTGTATGCTGTTATTATGTTTATTGCCATATTTAAATATTAATTAATGTCGCGTTAATTTAGAACTTTGCGTGCAACGAGTCTGATAATATTAAAACGCGATAAAAATGTTTGGAAATTAAAAATATTGTGCAAATATTTTCTCTAACCGTTATTATATATATTTATCGTACGATAACAATAAATAAATAGTTGTTATATTCGTTTTACTAAAAAATTTAGATTTTCAACGTGTTCAAAGTGTTTATCTTGAGCTTTGAAATTGCAAACCGTGAATTTTCACGAATATCGAGAATTCCCTTCCATTTATAAAATCTCTACGTTTGCAACATTTTTTTAAATTTGAATCTCTAAAATTATATTCATTGATATATTTCATTCCTTGTAGCAAACATTTTTTTAACATTTAAAAATTCTCCATCAGAGATCATCCTCCCTTTTCAGCATCGAGTGAACCGTAAAAATTAGTCGTATCACTCGTTAACAAAATTTTTTTTTGCCTTCCATTCGAAATGTGTGCAACAACGTTGAAAAAGGCAGGACTAAGTGTCTGGTGACACGCGACCCTCGTACGTATAATCGTCCGATTGCGTACTTAAGGGTCCGCGACCCCTCTGCACCTCCCCTCCTCGCACGCTTATTCTTTCGATACTTATCACGCGTGGAATTAAACGTGCCCTTAAAACTGCTGACTTTCCGTCAACGGCCATTGCGCCTCGCCACGCCGGATACACTATTCGAAACGATTAGTCTCCTGGTGGACGGGGTTGCGGAACAACGATCGCGCGCCGGTGACTTCGCAATTTGTTTTCCACGTATTCCGCGTTCGATGGAACGCGGCCGGGATATTTGGGATATTTTTTTCGAAACTGTAACATCAATAGAGAGGTTTCGAGAGATTAATGGAAGAGATTTTTTTCTTTTTTTTATTTTTATTTTTTTTTTCTGTAACTTCATTTTTGTTGGATCACAATTTGTCCCTCTTTGAAAAATCGATCCGACGTTTTTAAAAGTGATGACGTAATGTTACGATAAACTCCGATACGATGCACTATGAAAAATATTATTCGCGAGTATTCTACATCTTTTGTTAGACTCGATATTATTATTAAAACTTTCGTAGTCGTGTGAAAAAGCGATACAAAATTTAATACACTTAATTCATGTGTAATTGTATATAATAGAATCTTCATATATATATAATTGAATATAAACAATAAAAATTTTCAACTTCATAAAATCTATATCTTAAATAATATCTTTACTATTAAAATAAAATCGATCATTTGTATATACATATATATATGCACAAAATATCTGTGTTCCAAAATTTTTATAGACCAAATAGCATTAGGTAAAATTCAATGATTCGTCGTTCGTGTAATCGAGTGCGAATCCCAGTTCAACGAACGGGGAAATTCACAGAGGGAAAGGATTTTAAGGATCCGTGAGGTGGCGCAATTAAATCCTTTTCGTTTCTCGGGATCGGGCGAGTTAAAAGTCGTGAAAGTTTCGAAAAAGGAATTGCAGAAAAGGCGGAAATCGATCGATGAAACGTAAGCCAACGCGCGAGAAACGGGGATTTACTAATTTATTGCCTTCCCCGTTGAAATTAATGGCACGACAATCGTAATTGAGCGAGAGTCGGAGAAAAAGGATAGAGGGAAGAAGAGAAAGAGAGGGAGAGAGAGAGAGAGAGAGAGAAGGAAAAGCTCCTCAGTTTCAACGAACACTGTTCGCCGAGATAAACGAATTCCATCCGGTTTGGAATTTCCAAAGATAACGATTCCACTTCGAGAATTAACCGAGGGATTACGGTTCTCCTTGTGCGAATCGCTATCGATATACCAGAGATCTAACTATTTGCAAATTTTTTTTTCCCCGCGAGTTGAATTATAACCGTTGTATCGCGGGACACGGAACGAAAAGGCAATTACTCCACTTCGTTGATTGCAACGTTCTCTCGATTTCTAAGTCTACTCCGGAGGCTACATCCGGAGTTGAAAAACGGAGCCGTGGCTTGCTGAGTCAAGCGTCCATAGAATCGTAATGCGGAAACCCCTCGTGTGTTCCATTTTTATATCGAAGAAAGAATTTGAAACGAAAAGAAAATAATTCGTTCGGATCGGAAAGAATTTTATTTTTATTCGAGAACGCTACTTTTCTGTCTATCTTTGATACATCGAGTATAATAATTAATATCATTATTAATATATATTTATAAAATTATATCATATTAATATAATTAATATGATATATAAATATAATTAATATCATTATTAATTGTATTATTTATAAAATTTACAGATATAATAATAAACTATTCTATATTTATTCGATTGAGTATAAATTAGGAATCGAAGATTTACATTGATAATAAATTATTGAAAGGATAAAGAGACACGGCAAAGAATTAGGCGATAAAAACTAATTTTGATTTCATCAAAATTAACTCGAACGCTGTTATAAAGGATTAAACACGTTTGAAAATCTTTCCTCCTCCAATCTCATCCCATTTCCTGCTATAATATATTCCTCTGTAAAATCACAGATATATCATTCTCTAACACTGATTTAATTAAAGCATTCCAATTTACCACCTTCAGCAGGATTCCTCCGCATTACCACCTTTCCCCCCTTCGCTTATCGCGAGAATAGATCGAATATATACTCCGTGATACAATTTCTTCTCGAGAGAGATCCACGTGAAGGAAGGAGGCGGGTCGGCCAAGTCGATCGCCCCACGATAAATTAACCGTAGACAAGGGAAAGAAGATTGATCGAGCAGGATCGAGCAGGGAAGTCGAGTCAGGGTCTCTCTCTTTCTCTCTTTTTCCATCTCGTGTATTTTCCAGAGCTTTTTCCAGAGAGTTTCTCGATCCGTATTCAGGATCCGAGAGGAGCTCGCGAATTTCCAGCCAGACACAGTTGAATTTCACTTCGTCACTGGTTACTGCTTGCCTTCCTCTCTCTCTCTCCCCCTCTCTCTCTCTTTGTTGCTTTATTTCGTTTTTTGCACGACCTCCATCGACGACGCGGAAGAAACGGACCAAAAATCTAACAATGGAGCGCATGAGAAAGGGAATTAATAATTCTCGCGATACGTCTGGTAGATAAAAAAGATCGGATTGGACCCGGTTTTTATCTATCCCTTCGCTCGAATCGGCGACGAGTATTCGGATACGGTTACTGTTTTGCCAATCTCACTTTGATAAATAATTAATTGACTCGGTGGAGAAAAAAGAGAAACTGTAAACTTTGATTTGAAAATCGAAGAAAATGTTTAAATTTGGAGATTTATCGAAGTTCTTCATTTACGAACTTAGTTTGAATTGTGTATCCGAGATGCAAAACGTGGAACTCGAGGATCCTTCTTGTTTTTAAGTTATACGTAATGTTTTACCGATTTAATTTCAACGAAGGAAATCATAAAAAGTGATGAAAAGTTTTTGACTCTGCATAGAATGAAAAGCTTGGAAAATTTTGTTCTAATCAAATAATAGCGAAATATTATTATACTATAAAGATAATATATCAAATATTATTTGTTAAGTCTCTTAAATATTTATGTATTAATTATACAATAATAAGTATTGTTATAAAGTTATGTAATAAGGCGACATTTTATACGATTAAAGTTCCTTGTTTATTCTTTTAACAATATTTGAACAAGACATAATTCATCTTCAAAAAGCAGATCCAATTTTGGATCTAAGAATATAAAAGATGATTCTGAAGTGGGTGACCAAAACTTTCAAGCCGTGCTCTAGTCACTTTAACGAGGGAAAAGGGAGTATAGAGACACGATTCTGAAAACTCCTCCTGTTCGAGTTCTAAACAAGTTTTAAACACTCTTTGTCTGTGTCAAACTTTTGTAAGAAACGCTTCGCAAGTTTATAGTCACGTGTGTTAATACACGTTATAGCGTTGACACTAACGATCAAAGTGTTGGCAAGATAATTTAAATAATATTCTTTTCCCCTCCGGACCATTTATTTTCGAATAAAAATTGATTTATTCCGAGATTCGTACTAGATTTATCCAATCCTATTGATCGCTTCTCCTCAAAATAAATAAGTAGAACAAACATACTTTTATATTTCAATCACATATTTCAGATGAGAAATTAAAAATTTACAGCGAATAATTAGATTAAATTCCCGCTCCATTATTCGAAAATCTATTATTCAAACGTTCTATCGTTCGAATTTTTCAATTATTCAAATATTCTATTGTTAAAATATGAATGAAAAGGAAATGTATGATATTGTTTAAAAAAAAGAGGGATACATTTAAACATTAAAAGAGGATGAAAATCAAAAGATATACAATATTAAGGACATCTTCGTTTCAAAGCACATCTTCATTTATAATATTGGAAAAAGAATATTGAAATACTTTAAAGTAGAATAGATTTTATCATTTACTTACTATTAACATAAAATTGTAAAAATTAAATTAGATAATTAGATAAAATAAGATATACGATATGAAATCTCTTCTGAATGATATTACTATTACAATAGAAATAAAATTTCTTATTCAAATCATATTGGAAATACTGAATAACAATACATTCATACTGATCACGTACGTAAAAAAAAAATCGTTATCTAATAAAAATTTCCTTTTTATCTTCACATATTTTTTCCAAATTTTATTCTTACACGATATGGAATATAAAATTTCTAAAAATCTTTTACAATAATGACGAGTACTTGTCGACGATATTATTAAAATTAATCTGTTGTTTCCTGTAACGCAAAAGGTGTCGTGGATCCGAAGAAGGGACTCGCATATCCTCTCGGTAGATAGAACCATGTTTATCCCGGACGAAAGGTTTCAAGCGCTTTTCGTAGATGCGTCGGACACTTGGACCCTGCAGGTTAAGTACGTGCAGGCACGCGACGAAGGCGAGTACGAGTGCCAAATCTCGACCGACCCGAAGAAGAGTCACATCATCAAGCTCAACATCGTCGGTGAGATCGCGAAAAAATATTTCTCGATGATGTGTGAGATTTCTGAACGACGAGGTCAAAACTTATCAAAGCGGATTTAATTTAATTTCCTTGGGCAGTGATATATCTCTGTGTATAATACGATTTATTAGAAAATAATCATTGGCCATCCTCGTTCAATTCCACGCAAGTGTTATTTTTAACGTCGGCCGAGAAGAGCTCTGTCATCGATCGTCGGAGCACTTCGTGAACCATGTTCCAACGACGTGATAAAAAATTATACGAGCGTAAAATACAGACATTTTCTCTTTCACGTAACACTCGTACGTGTGAGCGTTAAAGTGTCCGCTCGGATAATCGCTCCGTATATCTAATAATTAATTTTCTTTGTCGTTCGATCACCTTCTTTCGATACATTTAACATATCGAGTGGGCCATGGATGACCCACGGCAGTCGGCATTGTTTTAATCTTCGTTGAACCCAAGAAATAATACATATTTTCGAATATATACACTGTTCGAGTGAAAAAGATGTAAAAAGAATAATAGATTATTATAATTAACATGTTGTACATGTGTCTCGGCTATCAATAGATGATAATCAGTAGAAGCAAAGTTTTTTTTATCACGAAATATATAATTATTCTTTATCATAGTAATTAATACTATCAACGAATAGATCAAAATATCAAGAATTCCATACAATATTTACAGTATCTATTGTATAATTAACTATTTCATCGTAAAATTTTACTTTTCTTTTTCTAGTCACAGAGCATAATTTATAAGATCACAATAGAAAAATTTGATATTTTTACGTAACGTGGATTAAAACATTTTCCAAGAATATATTACAATGCAATGCATTTCCTTTAAATTCATTGAATTATAAGAAAAAAAAATAGATACTAGCTGTGATTTTTCAGTGCCAAAGATCGAGATCATAGGCGACCGCGACATGTACGTGAAGACCGGAAGTACAGTTGCGATACGATGTGTGATCAAACAATCTCTCGAGGGCCCTTTCTACGTTTTCTGGTACCACGAGGGTGATCGCGTTTTGGACTACCAATTGAACAAGATCGATATCCAGACGAAGAGGATCGATCACGACACAATCAGCAGTCTCCTGATCCATAAAGCGAGGCGGGAAGATTCGGGAAATTACACTTGCAGTCCGAGCAGTTTGGACAGCGCGAGCGTGCAGCTTCACGTGTTAAATGGTGAGTCCTATTTTCGCATTCCTGGAAATTAAATAACTTTCGTGAGGTTCGTATTGCGTGACGTAAAACGAAAAAAGAAAGAAAAAAAGCATTTCGATCTATTGTTCATAAAAGTTTGCGCTTTTGAAAGACCTTTTACAAATCTAATAAAGATTTACTTTGGATCAAGCCTCTCGATTCGAAAGAGTAATTAAACTTAATGTAATAGTAAATACGGGCACGGATTGTACCATAAAAAGATGGTAACTTTCTGGAAATTAGTTTACCGATAATTCAACACAGTTTCGGGTCAATCCTTCGTCAACTTCTTGGTTCAAATCCAATTAGAAGTCTAAACGCAACGAAAACGGATCTCTATAACAATATGAAATTCAAGTAAGGTTCGTTAATATTCATTCAGTCTCAATCATGAATCTTCTATTAATATTTAAATTTTATAATAATAAGTATAAGAAAGTATAAAATATCGAATATTTTACATTATCGCGAACTTCCAACTTCGTTAAAAGTTTCGCACTTTTTAAATTAAAAAAAGAAAATATTGAGTTTCTTAACTTTTTTAAACATAATAAACTTACCTTAAAACAGCCATATCGATTTTTTTATCTAAAAAAAACTTCCACGGAGTTTTCACGATTACAGATTACAGATATGGGAAACGGTATCTAGAAAAAAAAAAATAATAAAATAAAATAAAATTTTAGAGAGAAGTATTAAATATTGGTGGCGATATAAAGCCGCGATAAAAGTAGCAACGGTGTAAAAATCAATTCTCTGATACAGGGGAGCATCCTGCAGCGATTCAAAGAGGGATCAGCTCGGCACCGGGTGGTTGTCCAACGTTATGGTGGCTGGCAGGCGTCGTGACGCTTTATTCGAGTCATGGTAGCCGCCTGTTCGTCCTCGCCCTTCTGATCCTCATGGTCCTCTACTCGAAGAATCCATCTTACTTCGCGCCGGAACGATAATCAGAAACAGGAGCTGGACTGTGTCGAAAGATGATCGATTATCTCCTGCTACGAGACCCGGAAGGCGCCTCGAGGGAACGTTACATCAAGAGGAGACGAGGGAAAGTGCACGCGGAGGGCTTCTTCGGAAAAAAAGACTTCGTGGCAAGGTGGACGATGAAGGAAGAGAGAAGTTGATCGAGGGAACGATGGAAAACCGCGAGAGAACAGCGCGACGAGAAACTACGTGTTCACGTTCGAAGATAACTGAGAGAAATATCGAAATCCTTCAACCGAATAAAATATAGCCGAATTTTATTATCGAGTTCGTTTGTCGAACAGAAAAAAAAAATGATTTCGAATAAGTGCCGGTTTTCTTCGTTTACGCGGCTCAGTGATTGAATTTCGTCGAGAAATTAAATGTATATTCAGAAAGGAGAAATCTTCACAACGAAGGATCGAAACTCCTGCTTTTCGAACGACTCGATCCACTATCAATTATAGGGATCCGTGAACGACGTCGATCGCGGGCATCTCAACGACGATTCTACTCTGTGAACGTGTTTATAAAGGAAATTCAGGATAACGCACGTGTGTCGAGATAGTATGATCCGGCCGTTAGAAATTAGGGGTTAATTAATCTCGGGGGGAGATTACTCGTGATATCGGTGCGAGTTCTTCACGCGGTCGAAAAGTGGTTACTTATGGTCGAGCGATGGACAAAACGAAACGACACGAAGCTTGCGAACACCCTCCCTCTAATCCTCACCTTCAAAAGCGGGACAACAAGACGAATTTTTTATAGGAATTATACATATAAAAATATACGATCTTCCAATGTGTATTTCAAACACGCGCGATATAGAACCTTTTATACCCTCGTTACGCATCCTCCATCGTTCTATAACGAATCATTCTAACTGATCGCTGAATCGTCATACGAAATCATTGTACATATTTGCCTATATAAAAAGTAACACCGTCGTGTTAAATGATCGTGTAAAAAAGTCTTCAGTAAGCCCGAACGAAGGGATGACTAATAAGACGCGAAGTTCGAGAGGCGAGCTCCTCCCCTCCTTGTTCATCATCCAAAGATCCGTTGTGAAAGGTGTTTCGCGATCTTCGTGTCTTTCTCGAGGGAAGCCAAACAGTAACGAAGTCTTCGTGATCGATCGGTGAGATTCTGTCGGGGACATCGAGAGGGTTTCGTAGTTTATTTCGCATCGAGATTAAGTCGGTGACGAGCGCGTGTGACTCTGAAGAAAAATGGAAATAGGGGTTGGGAGTAGGTCGAGGAGTGTCGAGGAGGAATGGAGAGAGGTCGAGAGAGCGACTGAAAGAATATACAAGGTGTAAGATAATCGCGGGATGCCGACAGAACTTCGTCCGCGCCGCTTTCGATAGAATTGAAACTTGTTTGATGAAGTTTTTAAAAGCGATGTGATTAATTATATTCGACTAGAGTGACGATTAGCGAAATGTGTCTATACTCGACCGTGTACCGTGTACATTCGAAGATTGTCTCGAGGAAGGAATATATCTTGACGATCGTCTTTGATAGACGATACGTTGAAATCATCCGATGGCATGAAGTATGTGTGAATGAATAATTTTCTTCGTTTTTCCGAATCTTTTCATTAATTCACGAGAACAATATCGAACAAATGTAATTACCATGAATGTATGAAGCTTTATTATAATCTGATACAAGGCAATAAAATAAAATATCATAATTGTCTACTAACTAACAATTGAGATTAAGTGAGATTTATAGAAATCGTAAATAAAAAGGAATTAGAATATTAAAGTTTCAAAGTATAATAATTAGATTACGAATTTTTATGTAAATGAAATCATATTTTTTACAAGTGATGTAAAGATATTGGCTAGGGTAAACGAGCAATTGTCATGTAATTTATCTTAAAACTTGTTTAAAAATATATTACAATTAAGAAAATTTTGAACTATTATAATTAAAAATATTAGTTAAAATTTATTAAATATATAATATAGTTAAATTAATTAGTTACAGTTTAGTATAAAAATCCATATTTTTTTGTTTTTTAAGTCTACAAGTTAACCTCAAAATTTTCTTCTGATAATTATATATTATTATAATATATATATAATTATAATATAAATAATCAATAAGAATTTAATTTTAAAAATTAATTATATTATCTATATTATTTATATCTTTACTATTTTATAATATTATCTTGATTATAGAAAATGTAAGATTAAGATCACTTTTATTAAAGAACCACTTATATAATAACAAGATTCATTCTTCATATTATATTATATTTTTTACATCTTATATTATATTCTTCATATTATATATTTTCTATATAGTTCCTGAATATTTTCGAACGAAAATTGAAAAATTTATAAAAGGACTGAAATAATTTTATCTTTTATGATGTAAAAATTATGATGTAAAATGTCACTGCCATCAGTGTTCTATCTCGAAAATATATTCGACGAGATTGATTCTATTATTAATATTTCGATTATTTATAACAGACAAAATCGAATAAAAAAAAGATATAAATGAAACGTACCGATTGCCTCGAGACGATCTACGATGATAAATTTTGGTACTTAAAGTGCATTGAGTATAGACACGAGTCAATAAAATGTTATATATCCGTGCATGCGTCAAGTTTTGTAACGGAATGGGTCATACATAAAAAAAAAAAAACCGAAAAAAATCACCAATTATTATCGAACAAACGATGACGTAAAAATTATTGACATGTGATATTCAAGAATTATAATCTATATAGATATTTCTTTTATTTTATTAATTCATAAAATTTTCTATGAATATTAAACAATTTTCCATCAATTTTGATCGATAAAGCTATATTATTATTATAAAAATATACGAAAAATCATAATTTATAAATTTTCACTTACTTGTGACATTTTTCATATTTCATCAGCAATCACACGATGATACGACGAGAGATAAAACGATAAACAGACGATAGAACAATAATCGATTGGAACAAGTTCAAAAAAAGATCATAATCAATTTTGAAAGACCCAAACTGTTTTCTCATTCTGCATGTTCGGCTGTATAAACGTACGGACGAACAGCTTTTTGGATTGCCTAAGGCATCCTGTTTTGCTTTTTTCTCGCAAGCGATAGAAGATACTGTTTTTTATATTATATATAAATATATATATAAATATATATATATACAAACGAACAGATAAATATATATATGTATATGTGTGTACGCGCGCGAATACGTTGCACAATGGTGTTAAAATATTGAACAAGTTTCAGTTCGAAAGAAAAAGTGGCGCAATAAATAACACGGTGAAAATAACGAGAAGGTATAACATGGGATAAAAAATTAAAAGAGAAAAGTATTTAATGAAATATAGACGTGAGAATATAATGGCAAATAATTGTGAATAACAACTATGGAAAAATTGGAAAAAAAATAGAGGTTAGGTGAAAAGATTGGGGAGGGGAAAATGGAACTGAGAAAGAAAATTAGTCGAACGAAGCGAACGATACATTAGAATATCTACGATTCATGTGATTGTAAATATATAGTATATAAATAACGTAACGTTAATTAACGATATGCCGTACGTGTTACACTAAAGAAACAAACAAGAAAAAAATAAATAACGTTACTGTGTAATTTTTCGGATCGTAAACGCATTCGAATGGGTCTGGCCGCCCGTGCTAACCGGCTCGAGATTGTGTTCAGACCAGACAACAGCTGGTTTCGAGAGTTTGAGATCGAGAATATTCGTGTCGTTTGATTCGTTCAAATTTTAATCGATCATTAGTCAATCTATTGCAAACTTCTGTACATTCCTTTAATCGATAAATAACGTACATATTTAATTACATTTTTCTTGAATTCAATCGAATCTATTGCAAGAACGTTCTCGAGAGATTCTCGATATGTGAAGACGTTTGCAAGAATAAACACGACAAGAAGAAAATAAAGTGAAAAAAAATGAAAAAATTAAAAGTGCGGGAAAAGATTAGAAGACAAGTAAAAGGCAGCACCGTCGCGTATTTCTGGCACATCGGTGCATCGAGCAACAAAAAGAAACGCAGCTATGTTCAGTGCGTTTCTGGATAGCACGGGCTGGCCACACGCGATTAGATGTAACACTAATTAACGCCTAGCGTAAGAACGGATATAAATGAAGGATTATATTGTCTGATATAATGTAACCAGGTATGGACGTACACGCGTATACGTGAATTTTTCGCGGCAATCAGTGATTGTGTGTGCATGAAACTACACGCGTGTGAAACTGTGTGCGAACAGACGAATGATATTGAAGGGAAGAGAGAAAAAAAGAATGTATGCTTGTACATGCGATACTCGAAGAAGGAACGAAAGAAAATGAAAGAAAGGGAGAGAAAGAGAGAGAGTGCGAAAGAAAAATAGAGAAAAAGTGTGAAAGGGTAAGTAAAAAAAAAAAAAGAGATATACGCGAAAAGTAAAAAAAAAGTTGTTCGTTGGACTGACGTGATAAGGCGTTGGTCGAATGACGCATCTTAAGATAAAAAAGGGACGACCAGGAACAATCTTCTTGTACCGTTTCTTCCCTTTCTTCTTCCCGTGCCTCGCGAGGCTACTTGTAACGAAACATAAAAAGAAAAGGCTAAAGATAGGGTTCACCTCGAGGCTACAATTAAAGCTTGCCCGTTTACTGTATTCTTTTTTGTTACAACAACTGGAGCCTCACCTCGCCAGATGGAAGAAGAAAGTTGTAATTTTCGCGCTCGTCCTCGTCGTCTCTTTATTATGACAGATAACAAAGAGGAGACGAGAGAAAAGGTTAAGATGATGATGATGATGGTGATGATGGTTATAATAATGATGATTTAAATAAAAACGTCGTCTAAGGTATACTAATGTCGTAGGCAGCATTGAATTTTTGTACCATTGTCTATAGTAGCTCTTAAGTGTCGCGGATTTTTTTGTTCTTAAGATGCCAGCCTTTGCAGGCTTGAGTACGTATATCTTATGTATTCTCGGTTTTGTCGATTGCTCGCGGGGCAGATATTGATTTTAGATGATATTATGAGATTGATTCGATTATTCTTCGATCATTCAAATTGCATAAGTGTAATACATTTGTATTTGTATTTTTTTTTCCTTATTTCAAATTTATGATATTCTATGTAAATATATAATAATATTTAAAATTTTACTTAAAGTAAATAATATTTTTTAATATATTTCTGTCAAATCTATCTTTGAAATCGGAAATCATCTATATCAAATCCGCTCCAGCGAAAAATACGTACCCGTTCCCGAGAGTCGCGGTACGCGAATATCGAAAGATCCTTTTTCGTGTGATGATTGACCGTCCTGACAGTTCGTCGATGTGCTCTTATGCGTAGATACTCGAAGTTAGTTTTTTCGATAGTAGATAATACGAATAAGAGATGGTGATGAGATTCTGATCGAAGATAAATTAGAATTAATAATCTAGCAATCAGTTTTACGACTGAAGTTGCGAATTCGATTTAAAAAAAAAAAAAACATTAAAAATGAAGTTATTAGTGCGTTATACGATGAAAGTCGTGATTGATAGTGGAAACTGGATTGCAGGTAAGACAATTTCATAAAGAAATAAATTTTGTCAAAAGAATATTGTATATTGATGCGGTATGAAATTTATCTCCGCGAAATAATAGATGCGAAATATTGATTCCGTGATATTGATTGCGTATGTATAATTATTGTGATTTTAACCCTCTACCGCTTATTATTATTAAAATATTATATTTATTTACGATGATATTGTTGTATCTTGTAAATAATTAAAAAAAAAAAGCAAAATACTGATAATATAAATGAATTCGATACAGATTCGTATAATTCGATATTTATGTGATATTTAATAATGTGATTAATTATTTTTGCTTCGTTCGTATAATTTTATTTTTTTTATTTTAACACACACAAATACATTTTTTTTTTAAATAAAACTATCGTTATATCTAAATGAATATACTATCGTTTCGCTTTACATTCCATTGTGCTTGTTTTTTTATTATTAATAATTGATTTCGTATGTAAATCCAATTGTAATTAATACGTAGAAATTAATTTTTTGCTGTAGAGGGTTAGAAATAAATAAAAAATACACAGTCGTCGATCGAAACCCTCGGGACGGAGAAGATTTCATCAATTCCTCATTATCGACGATATTAATGTCTCGTCGCGCTTATCTTGCAAAAAATAAATAGAAAGCCATATTGAGGCTCCTGACACTTTAATAATATCCACGATTCTTCGTTCGACGAAAATATGAACGAAGATATAACATTGGTATTTAAAAATATTTGGAAAATAATAGAATGATTTCCGTTCGATGAGAAAATTCAGGAGTCTCGATCGAGACAGGAGAAAATCGATCCATCGTGAACATATTCAGTTTTCAGAGACAACTTCACTTCATCATAACGATAGTTACGTTTCCAATGCGCGACAGATCACACGTAGCAATGGGTCTAATTAATCGTTAACGCGTGCCGTTTGCCGGTTCGAACGTTCGACGAAGCTAATAACAAGCATTTTAAATTACACGCAACGTACAATCGATTCAAAAGAATAAAACGATCGAAGAGAAAAAGAGGTTAGGGATCAACGGAGAGGAAAATGGATGCATTTGTCGAACGCCCGAATAAGCGAACATCGATTTAAAAATTAACGTAAATTAAACGAAAATTTTGAAAAAATGATGACCCTCGAAGCAAGCCTCGTCTCGCAGATTCTATAATGTACACCTTTGAGCGCTTTAGAGTAAATCGGAATAGATTTTAACGAATCCGTGAGATGATGCCGAGGAAATATAATTGCGTGGATGGACGGAGGATGAGAAACGAGCGGGAGTACGGACGCGTAGATGAAATGTATGTGTGAGATAAAGGATAAAGAAAGAAAGGTAAAAAGAGAAAATGATCGGTCTGAAAGTGAGAGGAAGAAAGAGAGAAAGAGAGAGAAAAATAATAAATCAATGTTAAACCGATCATTACCGATTTACAATTTTGAAAGACACATCTTCGTTATTCGCCATTTCTCTGCATAAGTTCAACCTCGGTTTCAAATGCTGGACGCTGCCCTTCCAAGGGCATAAATCGCAACTGAATCGACCGATGCTTTGTGTGGATTTCTCTGTTTTGTAAAAGATTGAAAGAGAATTAATGAATTATTAAAAATAATCGACACGAATGCACAGGACATTTTTAATGCATTGGAAAGTGCCAGATGCGAGCGTTTATCATCATAATGGGGCATCGTCCGCATCAAAATGTATATTACACACGAAGTTTCAGCGTTTACATTTTTTTTTCAAGGTATCATGACAACAGGGACGAGGAGAACTGTCCCGTTCTATGTGTGTAAGAACCATAAAGCTTAATGAAGAACATTATACTATGAATTACGGGATACTAAATAAAAGTAAGCCAAACCGTTAACTGATTCTAATATTCCTTTTACCTTTATAATAATGAACGAAATTTATTCCTTTTTATTTAAATTTTCATTTTATTGCATTGAAAGTTTACAATAGATATATTGATAAAAATTTTTATTTTAAATTTAATAATATAAAATATAAATTTTAAATAACTCAATAAAAATAAGCTTATTACATTGATGAAAAAGTACAAAAATTTTTGCAAGTACTGGACGTTTATTATGCATATATTGAAAAAGTTACAAATACTGTATATTATAATATTTCTTTTATATGTATATTAAATTCTTGTACATACGATTGTAAAAATTAAAAAAAAAATTTTATTCAGATTTTTTGTTTCTATCGCGAGTTTTCATACAATTTAAAATAATTTTTTGAAAATGTACAAGATAGCAGGCACTTATAAGACGAAAAATACCCATCAGCATTGATTGGATAAATAATTCTCGAATCGAATTAAATGGTGACATTCCACAACATAAAACAGTTAATATAAAACCTTCCATACCAACAGTAGAGAAAAATTTTCCAGCCTAAAAAATATTTTATTTCATCAAATGCATTGTTAATTAAATTAAAATAATATTTTGATTTTACTTACCAATGCATCTTTAAAAAGTTTGTCTGCTACTAATTCTGGACTGACAAGAGAACTAGTATTCGATATGAGTTTTGTTTCAAGAGGTTTAGATAATTCTTCTATCGCAAAACCTGGAGTGTTAGTATCTGGAGGTAAACTTAGAGTCACAGAAATATTATAAGGAGCAAGTTCCATAGATATACTTTCTGCCAAGCCACGAAGCGCAAATTTTGTACTACAATAAGCTGAGTAACCAAATATACCTAAAAGACAAGAAAAATAAATTATACAATATAAATATATTTAAATACAATGATAATGTATACCTAATAATGCAGCTTGAGAAGAAGTAAATACAATAATTCCTTCTTGTGCAGCTTTCATTCTTTGAACAACAGCTTTTGTACAATAATAAGATCCTAAGAAATTAATATTAATCATTTTTTGTAAGTCTGCTGGTGAAGTGTCTTCAATTTTGCCACAAATTGCAGTTCCAGCACAATTCACTAACATATATATAGGTCCCATAGTTCTTTCTATGTCATTTAGAGCTTTATCAATTGCATCATAATCTTCACCAACATCTAAAGATAAATATTCAACTTTTTGAATATCCTTATTTTTGCATGCATGAATGATTTCATTTCTTGCAATCTCTAATTTTTGAATATCTCTTGCAATTATTGTCACATGTGCCCCATATTTGGCAGCAAGAATTGCAATACATTTTCCAATTCCACTAGATCCACCAGTTACCTGATACAAAAATAGTAAAAAAGAAAAAAAGATTTTATAAATATTCTAAAACTTAAAAATATATAACTATGATTAGTTTCGAAAAATCGCATAATTTATCGTTAAAATGAATTAAAGATAATTCAATAAATATTTTCATATAATATTTATAAAATTTAAATATTTTATAATATTATTAAAAAAATAATTTTTAATAAAAAAGGAGAAAATAGAAATTTATAAAATTTTTTTATTTTATTTATATCGTAAAACTTTTTTAGTAGAGGTTAGGTTAGCATCAATGCCTGATTACTTACAACAACATGTTTTTTATTAACGTTTTTTAGTCGTCTTCGCCAAAAGAAATATCTCGCAAACAAAACAGTGGTTAGTAAAGCAATAATTATTAGTATTATATTAAAAATTAGTATCATTATTTTTGTTCAATAAAGCTTTTATTAATACACGAATTCAATTCGTACATTTATACGTAATACTACTATTAAAACACAATTTATATAAGTATCTATAAAGTTATTATTAAATTTATGTTTTATATTAAATTACTCATAAATTTTGAAATTAATACATATGTACGTACTTTGCATATAAAGACAAATAATAATCAAGTATTATACAAGTATGTGACGTAATTGTTCATGATGTTGAAATTGAAATTTTATCTATATATTTTGAATCAATATATATTTTTAAATCAAATCATTAAATAATATATTAAGAATGATATTGATATATCATATGATATTTTATAAATAATATAATAATATATACATTCAATATTCAATATTCATACAAAATATTCGTTAGAAATCAAATTGCGCCGTGTCTTGAGCGCATAGCAAGTGTAGACAAGGAACGCTAGTAAATAAAGAAAAAGATAGAAATAGGAAATAGGATAGAAACGGGACTACTAATGCCATCTCTTGGCAAAAATATTTCTTTAAATCATAGATGGCATTCTAATATTTTGCGTGGTCGGTATTTCAGAACAAGTAATTCTTTCGACTTTGTTTTATGCTCTATCGGTAACTAATCTTAGAAATAATAGTAACATGGTAAAGAGAATTCTATTACATCTATAATTGTTTCGCAATACCTGTAATTTTGAAACAAAAATATTATTTTATTAATAATATTATTAACGATATAATTTATATTAACATTATTTGATAAATCCATTTGTATTTATTTACATTGGAAAAACTTAGATTGCGCGATAGAGGAATAAAATTTTTATTCATATTTACATTTTATTAATTACTGACGCACAATAATTTGTATATATTATTAAACATCATAAATCTTTATTTTAAATAATTCTTGACACGTGGCTCCCTATGTATTCATTTTAAAAACTTCTTTGACATAATACATTTGCTCTCATGGTAACATTATTCACAATTAATGATATTTCTTCAAAAAAAAAAAAAAAAAAAAAAAAAAAAAAAA